CCAGAATCACCATTGAGGTATTTGTATATTGCTATCATATCTCCTCTCAAGCATCTTTTCTCCAGGGAAAATAGGTTTAATGTTTGTAGTCGTTCCTCATAAACTGAGGATTTTATCTCTTTGAGTAAATCCCCTTTTTAATGCATGCTAATATCCTGCTGGCTTTGCTTTCTGCAGCTTGGCATTGCATGCCATTGCCGAGTTTGTCATCTACTAGGATCCCCAGATCTTTTTCTGTCCTGGACTCCTCCAGAGCTTCTCCCCCTAGCGAGTAACTTGCATTCATATTTTTAGCCCCCAAGTGCATTGCTTTACATTTTTCAATATTAAAATTCATTAGTCATGTATCTGCCCACCCTTTAACCACTTGCCAACCGCGCTATAGCAGAATGTCGGCTACAGCGCGTTTGTCCAGTTCAGGGAGTGCGTCATATGACGTCCTCCCAGAACGCACCCCCGGGGGCCCGCACCCAGCGATCTCCGTGGCCAATCTCAATGGCCTTTTACCACATGATCAGCTGTGTCCATTGACACAGCAGATCCCCAGTAAATGCAGTTGCCAGTTATTGGCTGCACTTTCCTCACGCTGTCACAGGACGGAAATAAGTGGAATGTTATGCAATGGCCAAGTCCATCACCTGACTTGAATCCGATTGAGCATGCATTTCACTTGCTGAAGACAAAACTGAAGGGAAAATGCCCCAAGAACAAGCAGGAACTGAAGACAGTTGCAGTAGAGGCCTGGCAGAGCATCACCAGCGTCTAGTGATGTCTATGCGTTCCAGACTTCAGGCTGTAATTGACTGAAAAGGATTTGCAACCAAGTATTAAAAATTGAAAGTTTGATTTATGAATATTATTCTGTCCCATTACTTTTGGTCCCTTAACAAGTGGGAGGCACATATGCAAATGGTTGTAATTCCTACACTGTTCACCTGATTCACCTGTTCACCTCAAAATTAAAGCTGACAGTCTGCAGTTAAAGCACATCTTGTTTGTTTCATTTCAAATCCATTGTGGTGGTGTATAGAGCCAAAAATGTTAGAATTGTGTCGATGTCCCAATATTTATGGACCTGACTGTATGCTATTATTACTACCCTTTGGACACGCCACTGTAACCAGTTTTCTGTCCATATACAAACCCTACGGTCTATGCCTACAGACCTTAGTTTGTAAATTAACCATCTACAGGGGACTGTATCAAATTCTTTTGCAAAATTTAGATACACCAAATCCACAGGTCTTCCATTATCTAGATGGCAACTCACTTCCTTGTAGAATGTTACCAGATTGGTTTGGCAAGAACAGCCATTCGTAAATACATGCTGATTACTACCAATGGTATTGTTTTCCTCAGCAAATTTTTGGATATGGTCACTTATCATCCCCGCCACTAGTTTACATACTATTGATGTTAGACTGTTTCCAGAAATATATCTCTGCCCTTTTTAAATATATCATATATATTGCCAAAAGGAAAGAAAAAAAAATGTGAAATTCAGCAGAATAGTGTACCTTACACAGCCAACACTTATCCATAAGTAGCACCTCTACTGTTTTTCTTTGCTTCTTATAAACACTGTATATACCAAGCACTGATTAGAAGCACAATATCAATTATATCCTGCCAAGAGTATCCAAAAGTGTTCCTCAAAAGGATAAAAGACAAAACATTTACTCACTAAGCTGAAAAAAACATGTGTCCTCCTGGTCATATTAGTACCCTCATTCTTTCAGTGTAACAAAACACTGCCTGCTTCCTACCCACTTTCACAGCTCTTTCCTATCATTACTTTCAAACTCCTATGTCAGTAAAACCAGATACCTCAGACTGGAACAGATGATAGGGGAACTGTGGAATAATCTGTTCATCAACACCACTCACAGGGACACAGAAAATCCAAACTTATCCTTGTTAAATGTTATAGTTTAATGGCACTAAAAATGGCTGAATAAAATAACTGGGTGGATGCATTCTCTAAACTGACTGAAGCCAGACAGTGATTTTTATACCTGATCAAAGTGTGTTCTTGAAATAAATGAAGTGAGTGAATTTAATCTTTAAGTGGAACTACACTGCGTCTAAATGCCACAAACCAAAAACACTATTTAATTCATTTTAAAAAGTCAAAGAAAACTCAGCCATCCATCCAGGTCTCCATGTTTTTATTTTGCTGAGAAATCACTTTGAAAAACATCCCCTTGCATTTCTAGTCATGGCCATCTTGAGTAAGGGCAGAGGATTTATGTAGCAATTACTTCCTGGAATCCATATGCCCTTAGCTCAGGCACTCAGGCAGGAGGGTGTGCTTACCTCACTAAACCCCTGCTCCCCTCCTGTAGACTCCTGGGATGTATGACATTATTTGCCTAGGCATGGAAACCGGGAAGTAACTGAAGGAATGTAAAGAACAGTTTCACACTACAGAAACCATAGATGCGTTTCTGCATGCCCGTTTTGTATGTGTTTTATATGTGTGTTCCAGTGCAGTTTTCCCCTTTTTTTCCACTGTAAAAAAACTTGTGTGTGCTTGCTTCGGCAGCACATATACTAAAATTGGAACAATAAAGAGATTAGCATGGCTACTGCGCAAGGATGACACGCAAATTCTTGAAGCGCTCAATTAAATAAAAAAACCTTCTGTGTGTAGCAGCCCCCCTGAATACTTACCTGAGCCCCAACATGATTCAACGATGCCCACTAGAGCCTTAGTTCTCCGTAACTCCGTAATCCTGATTGGCTGAGGAAGCAGCAAGAGCCATTGGCTCCCACTGATGTCAATCACAGCCAGTGCGCCAATCAGCAGAGGGAGGTGGCAAGCCGAGCCATGGCTTTGTGTATGAACACACAGAGCAGCGGCTCGGGAGCACCCGACAGTAGGGAGCGGCCAGGAGCCCTTGCAGAAATAAAATGCACTGGACTGCATGTGGGTTGAACCGACCCTAAGGCTGCGTTCACACTAGCCTTGTTAACAAGTGGCAGACAGGCGTTTGGGGAGCGTTTTTACCGTTTCCCAAACGCCTGGGAAAATCCTGCACATTGCAGCACATGGTGCTGTTCAAACGGGAGCGTTAGCGTCATGGCAAAACGGATGCCTCTGGTCGAGTCAGGAGGAGTTGAAGCCTCCTATTCAAGTCTATGGTGCTGCTCCGCAAACGCCGGGCGGTTGCGGAGCGTTAACACCATTCAAACTTCATTATAGGCATTTGTGAGGCGCAAACGCCTAGCAACTGCCGCTAAACCGCGCATGCAGCGTTTGCGGAGCGTTAAAAAACACTCTGCAAACGCCAGACCAATGCTTGTCAAACACTATAGGGGCGTTTGGCAAGAGTTGGAAAAACAGTGTGAACGAGCCCTGAAACAAGTAAATATAAAATACCTTCCTATCTACAGTATCTACTAAAGCTAGCAGTGTAAGGATTCAAAATAGTCAATGTTGACCAAGAGAGGGAAGTTCTAATTTAAAAAAAAAAATTTAAAAAAGTTTATCACCATTAAAGGGTTTTGCTTTTTTACTATGAATTGTATTAAGTCTAACAGACAAAACTTATTTTAGTTTTGGACAGAGTGGAGGGGGATTCGAAAACCTGCTATGTCTGCCCCTGTTAGGGAAAATCCCAAATTTTAGGCTGTATAGGTAACAGATCAAATCAAGAAGGCAAGAATGCATGTTTCAGGCAAGCAGATAACCCTTGTAGCAGCAACAGCACTCGATACGGGACTTTTTTTTTTTAAATGTACCCACTTGAGCACTAGCTTGTATTACCTGGCCATTTTTCAGTTTTCAGCGTTATGGTAGCTTGACTGACAACTAGAGATGAGCGAATCGAACATGACGAAGTGGAATTCGTTCTGAAGATTTGGAAAAATTCTATTCGCGACGAATCCAAAGATTAGCAAACTTCGGATGCACGAATCGAATTTTCCCAAAAATGGCGGCGACATGTGTGGCGACGGAGAAAATGGACAGAGAAGATGGGGCGGGGATCTCTGGGAAGGCGCGCAGACCAGGCGCGCTGACCCATAATGCATTCATGACATGTGATCGCATTAGCCAATCAGCAGCCAGCCAGCACTGTGTAATGGTGGAGCTATAAATCGCAGCCATCTTAGAATTCTCCATTAGCCTCCGGTCATTCAAGAGAGACAGACCTGTGTGTATTAAGGGACAGAGTTAGGGCCACAGAGACTTTAGGGCCACAGAATCGTTACTCAGGGACACAGAATCGTTACTCAGGGACACAGTGTTCAGTGTTGTGCGCATTAAGCCAGACACCAAAGGGCAGCACAGACCTGTTATTACTCGCTCAAGCATGGCTGAACAAAACCAGTCTCTACCACAAATTGGACCCAGACCTACCCAAGGTCTCGCAAGTAGATTGCACGGAGGAGTAGAGCCTGTTATCGGAATTAAATAGACAAAACGCCACACCAAAAAGAGTGGCCATTTCCAACACTTATTCCAGAAAGAGGAACAACCCGTTTCATATACGGCCCGTAGACGTTTCACGTCTGCCACATTCAGTCGATTTAAGACGCAAGCTCCACTTCCTGTGGTCTCTGACCGTCGATATACCTTTAAATGTCAGCTTTGAATCTATATTCCCTCCGGAGCACTGACACTGGTGCCCTTCCGTCAACATGCCTTTAAGTTTCAGTTTTCAACCATATTCCCCACAGAAGCCAAACTCTTGGGTATCCCAGAAGCTGCTCAGCGGGTCAGGGCAATAAAGCTCCCGGTTCGCAGGTTGTTCCGTCTTATGGATGGAAGTACGACGGTATATGATCTTCTTCGCACCCACGGCATCACCTCATAGAATCTCTGCATTGCATCTGCAATCACAACGCTGACTTCCCGGATCGCCACTCAGCCATTGGACTCTTGATAGTCGTCTCCCCACGCTGCTGCTGGGGGGACTTTTTAACCTAGGCCTCTGTATGGCCTTCAATTGAAGCTGCTTCTGCTCCGCCACTCTGCCATTGGACTCTTGATAGTCGTCTCCCCACACTGCTGCTGGGGGGATTTTTTAACATAGGCCTCTGTATGGCCTTCAATTTAAGCTGCTTCCGCTCCGCCACTCTGCCATTGGACTCTTGATAGTCGTCTCCCCACGCTGCTGCTGGGGGGACTTTTTAACATAGGCCTCTGTATGGCCTTTAATTGAAGCTGCTTACGCTCCGCCACTCTGCCATGGGCCTCTTGGGTATCCCAGAAGCTGCTCAGCGGGTCAGGGCAATAAAGCTCCCGGTTTGCAGGTTGTTCCGTCTTATGGATGGAAGTACGACGGTATATGATCTTCTTCGCACCCACGGCATCACCTCATAGAATCTCTGCATTGCATCTGCAATCACAACGCTGACTTCCCGGATCGCCACTCAGCCATTGGACTCTTGATAGTCGTCTCCCCACACTGCTGCTGGGGGGACTTTTTAACCTAGGCCTGTGTATGGCCTTCAATTGAAGCTGCTTCCGCTCCGCCACTCTGCCATTGGACTCTTGACAGTCGTCTCCCCACGCTGCTGCTGGGGGGACTTTTTAACCTAGGCCTCTGTATGGCCTTCAATTGAAGCTGCTTCTGCTCCGCCACTCTGCCATTGGACTCTTGATAGTCGTCTCCCCACACTGCTGCTGGGGGGACTTTTTAACATAGGCCTCTGTATGGCCTTCAATTTAAGCTGCTTACGCTTCGCCACTCTGCCATGGGCCCCTGTTACCGCCTCCTCTTGCTGCTGCCAGGTCCAGAGTGTGTCATGGGTCCCTGTACGGCCTCCCATTGCTGCTGACTTCATCGCCAGACTCTGCCATGTGCCACTTTCAGGTCTCCTTACACTGTTGGTGGGTTCCATTTTGTGATAGGGTGCTGTATGGCCTTCCATTGCTGCTGCCTCCACCGCCACCCTGCGCCATGTGCCTCTATCATCTGCTCACGCTGCTGACGGCTTCCGCTTTTTAACCGAGGCCTGTGTTTGGCTTCCGAATACTGCTGCATCCACCGCCACCCTGCGCCATGTGTCTCTGTCGTCTGCTCACGCTGCTGACGGCTTCTGCTTTTTAACCTAGGCCTGTGTATGGCTTCAGAATAATGCTGCCTACACCGCCACCCTGCGCCATGTGCCTCTGTCGTCTGCTCACGCTGCTGCCAGGTCCATACTGATTCATGGCCCCCTGTACCGGCTCCTCATGAACGTGGTTCAGCGGGTTTGCGTCACTTAAAAACAAATCGTTGACAAACGCTGGGACGTTCAGTGTTGTGCGCATTAAGCCAGACACCAAAGGGCAGCACAGACCTGTTATTACTCGCTCAAGCATGGCTGAACAAAACCAGTCTCTACCACAAATTGGACCCAGACCTGCCCAGGGTCTCGTAAGTAGATTGCACGGAGGAGTAGAGTTCGTTATTGGAATTAACTGTGAGGGACTTTTAAACCTAGGCCTGTGTATGGCCTTCAATTGAAGCTGCTTCTGCTCCGCCACTCTGCCATTGGACTCTTGATAGTCGTCTCCCCACGCTGCTGCTGGGGGGACTTTTTAACATAGGCCTCTGTATGGCCTTCAATTTTAGCTGCTTACGCTCCGCCACTCTGCCATGGGCCCCCGTACCGACTCCTCATGCTGCTGCCAGGCCCATAATCTGTCATGGGCCCCTGTACCGCCTCCTCATGCTGCTGCCAGGTCCAGAGTGTGTCATGGGTCCCTGTACGGCCTCCCATTGCTGCTGTCTCCATCGCCACACTCTGCCATGTGCCACTTTCAGGTCTCCTCACACTGCTGGTGGGTTCCATTTTGTCATAGGGTGCTGTATGGCCTCCCATTGCTGCTGCCCTCCACCGCCACACTGTGGCTCCACACTCTGGTTTTGGCCCCGTGACTGCCCAAATGAGTGAAGTGTGCGGTGATTCTAAGATCGACGGCACTCATCTGCATGTCATACTGACTGACAGTATTATTTCTCTTCCCCAGCAGACTCCAAGGTACAATTAAAGGTACAGTGTTCTGCACTAATATTAAGGCTCTCTGAAGCCTAGAAACCCCCTTTTTATAAGTTAAATTCGCAGCGAATATATTCGGCTCGAAGCGAATTTATTCGGCGAATTCGGCGAATCAGCCGAACCAAATTTTTTGAATAATTCGCTCATCTCTACTGACAACGCATTAAAAGTAAAAATGTTTAGGCTTTAGAAGCACTTTATAAATATTCTTTATAATTATTCTGTAGTTGTTTACCAAACTGACCCAAATTATAGCTTTACAAAAAATGTTTCTATATCAAGCACTTTTGATTGCGGAATGAAAATCACCTGTCACAGCTGGCACACTTTGATGCAAAAACAAATTATTCAACGATTGGCACAAATTTTGTTCGGTATTCAAACTCGTCTATGGCCAGATTTAGCCTGTATAATAACAGTTAAAGCACAACTAAACCCATCAAAAACAGTTACAGTACCAATACACTGGGATTGCTGTCACATTTACTTGTGCTTTCAACCAAACTGTCAAACCATCAATGGCTGATGTTATAACTGATCATATGTTCAACACTATGGCAGTTTGAGATTCTTGGCTGAAAATGATAGGAGGGTTTAGTTCTGCTTTAACCACTTGCCCTTCAGAGGATTTACCCCCTTCCTGATAAGACCATTGTTTGTGATACGGCGCTGAGTTACTTTAACTGACAATTGCACGGTCATGCAATGCTACACCCAAATGAAATTTACGTCCTTTTATTCCCCACAAATAGAGCTTTCTTTTGGTGGCATTTGTTCACCTCTGCGGTTATTAATTTTTGTGCTAGAACAAAAAAAAAAAAAAAAAGACCACTAATTTTGAGATAATAAACAATATTTTGTACTTTTTACTATTATACATGTCCAGTAAAAAAAATGTAAACAATCAAATTTCGTCATCAATTTAGACCAAAATGTATTCTGTTACATGTCTTTGCTAAAAAAAAAATCCCAATACATATAAATTAATTGGTTTATGTGAACGTTATAGCATCTACAAATTGCGGTATATATATTAGAACTTTTTTTTTTTTATATACTAGTCATGGAGGCCATCAGTGACTTATAGCGGGACTGCAGCAGGCATGCTGACACTGGGGGGAACTGACTGTCACCCCCAGTTCACATATATGCGGCCGTGTGGGCCGTGTTTTGCGTGGGCACGAGAGCCCATTCATTGGACCTTGGTTCCCAGTACAGTTGCATTTTCCAGTGTGGGCGGTGTACCATTAGAACTAATGGCACCTGCCCGTGGGACTGCATTCCTCTGTGCGGGTGGTACGGTTGCATGCATTTTCGTGCAGATCAGCAGCAGCAGCACCACCCGCACAGATGTGAACCTAGCCTCAGTCCTAACAAAAAGCACTGACATTGTACTAATGACACTGGGCAGGAAGGGGTTAACATCTGGGGCAATCAAAGGGTTAACTGTGTGCTTTACACTGTAAGCACACTGTTTTGTATGGCTCTGCTATGCAGAGCCATACAAAGCAGTGTGCAGAAGCTGACAGGGGAGAGATCTGTATTGTTTACATACAGGTCTCTCCCCCATCTTTGATATACGATGATTGCTGGGTGCCGGTGGGGAATCACCGACCGGGTCCCGGTGATCGATAGGTGAGGCTGCCAATGGTGGCGCGGGTAGGGCACGCGCCCCCTACCTGAAAATGCAAACTCACGTATATATATACACACGTGAATACACATGTATATACACACCCCTGCCGCCCTGTAACAGTATTTCTGCTATAGAGCGGCGGGAAAGCAGTTAATAACAGTCATAACACAAATAAGATATAAAAAAACAAAACTAATGCAGGCCATAGACGGGTTGTGTAGCAGCCGAATTTTCGTCCGCACGCAAAAATCGGGCGATATTCACTTCGTTAGTGGGGCAATGCCGTCTGCCTTTTTTCGCGGATCTTCTCGTTTATTTTTATCGGTCATGCTGGAAAATCCATAAAAAATGGACGTTTTTCATAGACATTGGTGGCAGCATCGGCAACGACCGATTTTTCGTTTATCGGCGACAATTCGGCCCGTCTATGGCCTGCATTATGCCTGCTCACATGACTAGTACAGAAGGGATGATTATGTAGTGTTAGCCAACAGGGCAGTGGTGACCACTTACCTTTGTCAGAGACCCTTATGCCCCAACATTGGTCACATACAGCAAGTGAGCTTCTGAGTTGTGACCCAAGAACATCTTACTGTGAACTATGGTAAGAATTTGTACTTTTTCTTTTGTTTCACTTTATGTTATAGTAAAATGCTTTATTAGTTCAATATACTGTAGGTCCACTTTATGTTCTTCTTAGAAAATAAGAAATTGTACATGACATACTATGCCCGAACAAGCTATGAACTTGCACTCTTACAGTTAGTAATATGGAAAAATAAAGGTTTTACACCCTTTCCTTAGGGAACCTCGCCCATCTAGATCTCAGAAATAAACTTTCACATAGCTTTTTTTCCCCATGCTTTAAAATGATGAATGGTGTGGAACTATGGTTATTATTATTTTTATATCTCCCCCCTCCTCGGTAATTTTTTTTTCCCCCAATATCTACATACCCTCCTCATTGGAGTTCCATTTTCAGATAGGATACTAAGCTTACGTTATTTTTTTTTCATCTTGCTAAAAGCATCAGATTCCAACCTGAAAGTGATATTAAACCCAAATGCTAACATTTATTATATATACAGGTTACCAATTCTTAGATGTGATGGCTGCATTAGTTTTCTTTTTTAGGCTTTTTTCTTCTATTTTCACCTGGTGCTCTGGCCAGAAGGTCAATTGTTTTTCAACAGAACAAGCTCTCCTTCAAATGCAGCCGCTAAGAGTGTTGAGACAAACCATTTACCACTGATGGGATGCTTAGAACGATTAGCTTTTATTTATTCATGTAAAACCTTTATCCCAATAGGAAAAAAAAAAACTGTTGCTGTAAACTGTTTGTGTAATAGCAGTGTGAGCTGAAGTTTGGCTTCAAATTGTTAGTGTATGTGAATCTGTTAGTAAGCAGCAGGGTACCGAGCACAGCGATTCTGCCACCAAGCATTCCAGGGGGCATACCAGTGCGCATGTGCTGAGCAACGTACCAGTATGTCGCTTAGCCTGCTTGTAGTAAATGTACTATGGTTGGGTGGCAAGTGGGTAATATATGGAATTCAGTATATTAAACCCATTTAGTGTCATTTTGTAAAAATATGTTATAATGAAAAAAAAGTAATTACACATTCACAAGTCAGTACAACAATCTCTAATACAGTGGAATCATATTACACGTCATCTTCATAGCAGAACAAAAAAAAATGCACAAAAGGGGTCACCTTATTAAGAGATAAGCAAACAGAGAAAAAGAAAAAAAAAAAAAAAAAAAAGAAGAGAAAACCCCATTCAAACAGAACAAAACATATACAACCTGTAAAGGCCCAAGAACTCACAGCCCTTTACCCCAACAGTTAAACCTCCCACTTACTGTATACTGTACCCCTTAAAGTGTTACTGCACCCAGGACTCTGCATTCACTATATCTGGCCTCCCACAGTACACAGCACATGGAAGTGCAATTATTTTAGTAAATATAAAACTGCTAAATACCTTTTCTCAGCAGTTAGAGCAGTCTTGTGACTTCTATCAGTGTCCAGCAGAGCACTGGTTGAGGCTTGTAGAAGAAGTTTTCATTTTGCTCTAGGAGGATGCAGAACCCCTGACCTCTGTCTGGACAGTGCTTATTGCCCCTGTGCTGACCACATGCACTTTCCCAAGAAAAATAAAAACTTTAGCAATACACACCAAACTAAGCATGTGCAGAGTGACTCTGCACAATATGTTTTATCAGAAGATAAGAGGG